CCAGATAGAAAGACTAAGGCAGCTATTACTACAAGGGGACTCTAGAAGCAAGTCTAGAAGCATCCATCCCTTCTTTCTGCCAGTTAAAAGGTGGCTGCCTACTATTTGCTCTTCCTTCTCTTCTAACTGCAGGAATGAATTTGGGAAGACAAGTAGAGAAAAAGATGATAGAAGACAGCTTCACCTGACAAACACAGGAGACTGACATACTTTGATATCTTCTCAGACTGACATATAAGCATGAAAAAAAGCCACTACTAGAAAGAAGCCAGCACCAAGACTGGATGGAAGGGATCAGCTGTGGAATAGTTACATGCAGGCAGGTTGAATCAGCGCATTAAAAGAGCTGTACTGGGTCAGAACAAAGATGCACCTAGCCTCACATCCTCTCTGACAACAGCAGGTGCCTAGGAAAAAGCATAAGGGTTAGGACAAACATAGTGATACCTCTTCATCCATTTTGGATGCTCCACAGTTCAGGCACTAAGAGTTAGTGCCAGTTTCTTTGGAATAAAGTAGTTCATGACTGAGGCCAGGGATCATCCATTCATCAGTGTCCTGGGTTGAGTGGTGGGGTTTTTTGGTGGCAGGGGAGGGGGATATAGTGGCAGCTCCCTGTGAGAAGCTTCTCAAAGCTCCCCCAACTCCAAGTCAGCTCCATCTCTGCACCAAACTGAGCCAATCAGCTGCACCTCTGCGAGAATGTATTTAAGAAGGGACATGGTGAGGAGGAGTTGGGCTTGTGAGGAGGAGTTGCTGCAGCTGCATGAACACCAAGGTCAGTGGAGGAACGGAGGAAGAAAGGAGGGGGGAGGTGTGCCGGAGCAGAGACCCCCCTGTATCCTGTGGGGAGACGGCAGGGCGGCCCCCCCTGCCACCCATGAAGATCTACAGTGGAGCAGACACTGATTTATGGCCTGTGTTTTTTGCCGGGATGATCAAGGTGCTGTGCCTGAAGAAGGCCGGGGGCTTGTGGGAAAAGGTAGCTCCCACTGTTGTAGTTCAGCACTGGGAGGACTGCGGCATGCGGGGGTGTCCCACGCCGGAGCAGCTCTGGAAGGGCTGGGACTCCAGTTAGAGAAAGTTGGCGACCCACGACAGAGCAGTGTAAGGAAATGCTGCAGCCCGTGGGAGGGACTCATGTCGGAGAAAGTTTGTGGAAGACTGTCTCCTGTGAGAGGGGGACCACACTGGAGCAGGGGGAACAAGATCCAGAAGCTCCTCCCACTGAAGATGGAAGAAACAGCAGCACTGACTGCACCCCCCATTCCCTGCCCCTGCGCCACTGGGGGAGGAGGTAGAGATATCGGGAGCAGAGCTGAGCCCGGGAAGAAGGGAGGGGTGGGGGGAAGGTGTTCTCAAGATGTGGCAATGCTTCTCACTCTCCTACTCTGCTAAGTGTTGTTAGTGTCTGTAATAAATGTATGTTCTTTTTTTCTTCCCCTAACAAGTCTGCCTTTCGCTCGTGACCATAAAGTGTGATCTGCTCCTCCCAGTCCCATCCCAAACCCCAAGCCTGGCTCATTTGTCTCATTGCCGGAAGAGAAGAGGGAGAGTGGCTGCATGATGTTTGGCTGCAGACCAGGCTCAAACCATGACAAAGGTCAATCAAAAGAGATTTCAGGGCCCTGGGAAGAATGCTAAAAAATTCAGGAGCACAATCCTCCCAGTAATGAGAGACTTTGGAAGAAACAGATGAGCCCAAGATATAAATGCCTGGCTCCAGGACTGGTGCATCTCCACCAAAATCTTGGGGTTTATAACCATGGAAGAACCTTTGAGGCACAAGGTATGATGGGGCCTGACAGGATCCATCTGTCCAGATGGGAGAAACACATCTTTGGTCACAAACTAGCAGTACTGATTGAAAAGGCTTTAAACCAGAATCACTAGGGGAAGGGTATGCTAACAGGAGAGCTGAAGATAAGCCAACAGTTGACATGGCATCACCTGAGGGTGGCAAGCTAGTAGGAACGTTTATGCTGCTCCTGAGAGCAAGGAGGGCTCAGGAACATATCTGAAATGCTTGTACACCTACACATGCAGTATGAAAAATGAACAGGGTGAACTGGAAACATTTGTAATTTTTCACAGCTATGATGTCACTGATATTAGCAAGACTGGGTGGAATGAATCTGTCCTCAGCTGCTGGCCAGGTTTAAACCAAGACAGAGTCCCACAGCTGGAGTGCTGGGATGGAGGGCTACAGGCTGCTCAGGAGGGATAGGCAGGGCAGGTGAGGTAGTGGAATTACACTAGATGTAAGGAAGAGGTTTGACTGTACAGCCCCTACAGTTAGTGATGATATGGTTGAGAGCCTCTGGGTGAGGATAGAAAACAAAGGAGATGGTGTAGTGAGTGTCTACTGATGATTGCCCAGCCAGGATAATAGCGCCTATGAGTTATTCTACAGACAATTAGGAGAAATCTCTGGATCAGTAGCCCCTGCCTTCATGGGACATTTCAACTTCTCAGACATCAACTGCGAATACCATACTGCTGCGGTGACCAAGTCTGGGAAATTCTTGAAGTTTGTGGAAAGTAACTTCTTGCCACAAACACTCAGTGACCCAACTAGGAAAGATGCTCTCCCAGACTTGCTATTTGTGAATAGAGGACTGTGTTAGGGGTGGTTCAGACTTGACAATAAGAAGCATTTCTTTACTGAGAGGGTGGTCAAACACTGGACCAGGCTTCCTAGAGAGCTGGTCAATGCCCCAAGCCTGTCAGTGTTTAAAGTAATAACATGCTTAATAACATTCTTTAACTTCTGGTCAGATCCACAGAGAACAAGGTCAGCCTCAATCCTTTGTAGTAGGCCCTCTTGCCTGAAAGGTGAAGACTGAAAACAAGATCATCTACCTGCTACTTTACAGTGAATTTTGTTAGACTTCAGATCACTAGATAGTAAAAATTTCCTTTACTGGTGGTTGTAACCTAAACACAGAAATATTATTTCCCAGAAGGCAAAAATTAAATTATTTCTTTCCTTTCAAAGAAAAGTTTAGGGATGCAAGTTTTTCAGAAGTGACACTGTCCACAGTCTAGTCCACAAATGATGAGCTTGGAGATGCTGAAAGCATATTACAAGGTTTCTTGCCTGCTGGTTTGTAACTAAGCTACTACTGATCAGTACGATTTCAATAAGAGTATGTGCTGTCTCTTTAAGAAGATAATGGAAGAAACATCAGGCATTTTTTCTGTTCTTCTGAGGCTGGCAGACACTCACAGCATAAGTACCCAACAAGGCAGAAATAATTCAGAAATTAGTCATGGAAACATCTTCAGTGATACTCTAGAGTACAGTCTGCCCTCTGGTATTTCAAAGTATCTAGAGAGCTGTACACCTGCTGATGACTTGTTTAAACCAGGAATAAACACTGATTATATTTAAGAGATGTATAGGAGCCTTCATATGAGGAGGCCTGGGCCCCAGTTCACACTTCTCCATGCCAGAGCCATAACTATCATTCACATAAGTCAGTAAACCGAGACAGGCTTTACAGGCTCATTAACAGTTCTCTACAGTAAGACTGACTGTGTCAAGACAACTTGATAGTTCGGATTGCTGTTGTACTGTGCCTGCTGTATTACGATGTTTCCACAGATTCAATGACTTCTCATTTACACCAACATTACTTTATTTGCTTGCTATAAAGAAGAGATAGACCCAGCAGATAACAAGTGAATAGACAATGAACACAGACTGAAGATCCCAGATGAACAGTAACATTTTGTCTGGAACGTTAGTTATGAAAACATTGAAAATTTGCTGCATTAATTAACTCAAAACATAATAGCTTGCTCTATGAATAACACAGGAACCAATCATCAGCCATCAAAACAAATTGCTGCTGTCTAAATACATTACTGAGGTCTGTAGTAAGATGTCACAAATGCATTCTATATATGTGTTAGAGTTCCATACACACATGCAAACTGTGTTATTCCTGAAGAGCAATTATTTAATCTCAGTGGAACTTTTTTTTTTGGATTTAAAGTTATTACATGAGAAAATACTCAGCAGTATTAACATGAAAAATCACTTCAAGCATAGACATTCTCATTCTAAATAACCTTCTGGTGCCACAGTTTGATAGATTTTGATGAAGTTGAAAGTGTTTATTGATATGACTGGCCTGTTAAAGTAAAGCTAAACAAAGCCTTGATGCAGAGTTTGCATTATACCCTAAAGGTACCATGACTGCAGAAGAGATAAAAGCATGGCAACTGAAGACCCTTAATCCAGTGGTGATGGCAACTCACATGACAGACCTGAAAGTAGAAGCTCAGACCGATACTAGCTCTTAATATGAAGGACAAAGGCACCCCTGGTGATCAAGAGGTAACAGACATTAGGGGGGGATGGCCAGAAAGGGGTTGAGCTGTAATCTCTGTCTCAACATTACCACACTTCACTTTCACATATTATTGTAACATAAGCCTGACTTACACAGCAAAATTCCATAACCTTGACTTAAGATGAGAGAAAAACCTGTAGAAAAGTCTGTAGAAAGATAGTAACTACAGACAGTCCTAAGACTGTTCACACAGGATTTGCTGGCAGCGTATAGATTTAAGAAGAGATAAACCCACCAACAAGGGAAAGCATAAAACGCAATGGGGGAAAAAAAAAAAACAAAAACACATGGCACAGAAAGCAAGTGTCATCAGCTGCTGTTTGGGTTGTCAGTGTTGGAGTCACTTAAATGTGGCAACTCAGCAATCTGAAGCACTTGCTCCAGGAGGCTGCAGAGGCTGATCTTTCTTCTCTAAAAAAATACTAGTCTAGCCAACTGTGATTTTCTGGGTGTTGTTTCAAAGGCATTGTTACAACTGGGGGGTTGTGGTGGTGGTGTGTTCTTCTTTTTTCTTTTCCTTCACTACTATAGATTCTGAAAGGAAACACAGGACTACATATAAAATAATACTTGGCAAATGAATACTCAGAAATCTGTAGGGTACTGGCATCTTCCACAAAAGTTACATTCAATACTTACTGTGCACACATGAGGCCAGTTCTCAAGCTGACGAAGCACTGTTGTGCTAAGCTCCTCCCAGTACATTTCCCGGTAGATCTGTGGCATCTTTGACACCCAGACACCACTGCTGCACTTGCTCAGAATCTCCTTAATGCGACTTTGAACTTCATTGACATGAGCAGCAGGAGGGCCAGGGGCAACAGTATGTGTCTCCGCAGTGGATGTATTCAGGTTATCTGTTTAACAAAAACACAGCTTTATCAGCAGAGAGAAAGACAAACTATCACCTACCTACTTAAAAATGAAACATAGGAGCTGTAAGCATAACACCAACTCTGAAATGTGGCTCTCCTACCCAGCATGGCTGTTTCAGTCACTTTCTTTTGGAAAGAGCCATGGGAACCTCAGACATTTAGTAGTTGACCTGAAGCTGAATTTTCAACCACTGTAGTTATTTTCATAAGATGTTGCTGAATATTTCTTCTGGAGGGATCCTGGAAGAGGTTACACAACCATCAGCCACACTGTTGCTGAGAGGCTGCACTGAGGTAGTGTCCCAAGAGGGACACAAGGTAATTTCTTTATGAGTACAAACACAACAACAAAAATACAGCAGAACACCCAAGGATGGTGTTCTAAATTCAGACAGATGTACAAAACAGACCAATGATTTGCCTTTCATTCTAAGATATGTCCTACGGAAAAGTCTAAACCCAGCACCCAGCCTTTCTGTGCTACTGCATCCAAGGAAGACTTCCAGCAGAGCAGAGAAAGAGACAGCAACTGTCCAGCTATGCAGGACAGTTTCACACACTGCGTGTAGGAGCAAGGCAGTCATTATCCCAGTTGGAGGTTCACATCGCTAGCTTACATGCTGTCTCATCTCTACTCCCCTCCTTCCTTTGGAGGTGTGTATTTCCTGCCAGACCCGAAGCTTCACAAATCAGCCTGACAGGTCTCAAAGAAAGCAACCATCATTTGACAACCCCATCAACCACACAACTGCTGGGAGCCAGGCATGCAGACAGGCTTTTTCTGGACAGCTAGGTTAGTGTGTTGCTTACTCCTGAAAGCCAGGATTTCACTCTCCTAAACCAGAACCCTACCCTGGCAGTGAAGTTAAGAATACTCCTCCTGTTTCCAAGCTACTCACACTAACTTTGGAATTGTCTTTGACACTTACTACATAATGGTTTTCCTAGAAGACAGAGGCAGACAAGTAAACACATACATTTCCCAAGCACCATGAAATCAGAATGAGAAGGTTCACTCGCAGAACTTGGGTTTCTCACCCAAATCTATCTTCATTCAAAACAAGTAGTGAGATGGATTTTTCTTAAGATGACACCCAATCTAATGTGAGCAGTCAACAAAAATTTTCTTAATGGGCAAACATACCATTTGAATCTATGGAAGAGCTTCGGGACAGGTGAACTTGCAATTCTTTTTGAAATCTTGGTGGGACAGTTAGTCTCTTTTCAGACCTAAAATTGAAAAGATAGTTGCTTTAAATCATTCTCCAGGCTTTGAATACCATTCCATTTACTTACAAGATGTATACATAAAATAAAATGTATTTCACATACTTCTAGCAGGCTCCCTGCACTAAATCAGTACTCACAATGTCCTGGCTTGGAAGACCACCTGATCAGCAATGACAGATCAACAGGCAATTTCTAGTTTTCTCTTATTATCCCAATTATTGTAAGAAAAGAAACACACAGTAAGAAGACATTAACAAGAGGAAATCATCTAGGCCTAGTAACACATTTGATGGTCTTACATTTGATGCGTTCAGCCTCACTATTTGCCTGGATGGCATCTCAGTCCTGCTGTTGAACACGATTATGCTCACCTTTTTGGTAGACATGTCAGAGTCTTCTGAAAATATCTGGCTTCAGAAATCAGGGAACACCTAAAACTACATAAGAACTCAAGGTCTTTTTGTGGATACTGTTGCTACACTGTTTACCAGATTCCTCTGCGAAGTACTCTCCCCCAGAAAGGACACAAATGTCATGCTTGCAGGTGTTCTTCTGAGGTCCCTCAGAGAGTAGCAGCTTATACTGGGAGCACACGCAGCACAATGAGTTCCTGACAATGAAAAGGTCACAGCAGTGTGTAGCTCACTAAGACTGTTTTGGAAACACTTGGCTGTGGAATAATTACATACACTGCAAGCAAAAGGGTGTAAGAGTTGGAGAAAGAGTTCAAAGACCAGGACCAATCACCTCTCAAACACACATACCTGAGGAACAACTACAAGGGAGAAGTGACAGTGACAAATGCATCAAAACAGCTCTCCACAGCATAGCAAGTTGTTATGAACACCAGGCATCTCCAGACCACAGCAGCCACCGCACATGCACTGAGCAGGCTCTGCAGATGGTCTCTGCCCAAGGGGCCAATAAGGAAACTGGCCACCTCTGGAGTTCAGGCACAACTCCGGAGGAAACCACAAACTTCACCAGCCACAGAAACACCAAGGGGGATTTTCCCACCTTCACCTGGGCTCTGAGAGGTAGGACAGGGGTCAAGTAAGATGCTGAGGCTGGTAGCAACAGGAAATTGAAACTAGCACAGTATTAAGGTAGCCCTATGTGCCTTCACAGTGACGTTTAATCAGAGCAGATCCACAAATTGGAAAGAGGCCTACCACAGTCACACCTCTTCTAAGCAGCATCTTACAAGGTTTAACATGAATTTGTCTCCCTTGCTTTTTTCCTGTCCCTGTAAGATGAAACTACTGCTCTGCCATCACCTATGGGGTGGCACTTGTACTAAAAATAATACCTCTGTTCTGGGTCATATCCCACAGCATTAGCAGCAAGGACAGCCACTGCCTAGCACAGCATTTTCCAAGGCAGGAGGGGCATGACCAGAAGTGCTGAGCAGATCAACTGCAAGGACATTTGTGAAACACAAGTGGGGCAAGACTCAAAAAATACAAAGGCAAAGTAACCCATGCGAAACCCAAACACACATTCGTACCTTGCACTTGTTGGATATCTGAAAAGATTCTTCCAACACTCCACCTGCATCACAGGAAAATCTTCTACCTCTGGTCACAGCTCAGATCCACACACAAAGCACCAGCACAGTCCCTTCTTAGAAGGTGTGCTGTGACTGGCCATGCAGACCCTGCAAGAAACCGAGGATCCCACCTCCCTGTACATGTATTGACCAGTATGGACAACTCCAAGCTGGACTCTAGGAGAGAAGTCCCTTTAAGGGAATCAGACTCAGACTACCACGATCGCTAGACAGCAAGCAAATCAATCCCATGAGCTAGCCACACAGGTAATGGAGACTGTCCTGCTACTGCTGCCTCCCAGTAGGAACCCATAGCTGTGTTCTAGTCCTCAGTGCCACAACACCATTTCTACCACCTTAAGCCACACATGAGGTGACACATATGATATGAGTGCAAGGTAAGCCAGCAGGAACTGCAGTAAGGTTTCAACTGAGGAAGAAGGCAGATGCTCCTCTCTCAAGCCATGCCATCTGGAACACCTTGGAAGGGAACCTGGAACAGAGGACTGATAATTTTCTTAAGTTGCAAGTGAAAGCAAATTGGAATTGGGATCTTCTCGGTATTAAGAGACTTCATGTGGTATCTTCCTGTGCTTCCAGCTGTGGTTCAACAACTTCCCATAGAACAACATGGTGTTAACATCAGCTTTGGGTCCAGTTAACATCAGTTTTGAGCCCTGCAATCAAACAAGGATCCTGTGATGCAGTGCTTGCTTACAGAGACCACGGTGGTCATACCTCTCCAAAGGTGGGGTGGAACACAGCCACACAGTGGCAGGGCCAACACACTTCTCCCCAGAGTGCAGGTACAGACAACTCACTTGCCTGCAAGGCCACACGTTCCTCAGCTGCTAGAAACTGCTTCCAGCAAGAGGCCTCCTAGCCACACTATCAGTAAGAGAACACATCAGCAGCCTGGCCCTACACAAATGCCTGACCAGCCATGCAGCCCTGCCAAGCCCCCATGCATGGCTGTAGCTGAGCAGCCAGTTACATTTCACTCCCACAGACCACCATCTCAGAGAGAAGGGAAGGCATGCCCTTCCCTGTCTATCAACTTACCTTGCTAAGGCCTGTGCCACTGAACTCTGCTCTTTGGTCCTTGGGCAGTGCTACCTCAGCAGCAGGGCCAGGTGGCAGCCAGCAGCAAATGCTGCCTCCTGGTCCAAGAAAGGGTGTCAACCTGTTCTCATCCATGTTCTTGGTTTCCTGCTTCAAGGATATCTGCAGTTAGCCTTACAAGCAAGGTCTCTCCCACCTTTTGTGGATTTTCAAGTCCACAGCAACATGCTCATGACATGAACTTCCTGAATGATTGCTGCTATAAAGACAGTGTTTGAGACCCTGCAACAGTGTCTGCAAGAAGGCCTGGGAGGGCAGCAGGAACCAACCTGGCACAACTGCACCTACCTTCAGCATCTCCCCATTGTCGTCTGGGTGTGAAAGAATGTGCCAAGACTAAGCAGTGGCAAGCCTCAGAAGCTGTGGTCATTAAAATCTCTCAGCAAAACTTCACAGAGTGCTAAAGAGGTGGGACATAGACTTTGGTAGCCACCATTTGCAATGTGTGTGGGCCTTCACTACACAATGCTAGGTGGAGCACCAAGACTAGTCAGCACCCAGGCAAAGCCTGTCACTGGGAGAACAACCTACCAAAGCAAGGAACACAGATATGCCATAGCAGGACAGATGTTCAACTAGGCCTTTTCTGTCAGTAATGTCCCTGGAGACTCCTGCTTTCTCCTGCCCCTGCCAAGGACTGTTGCTGCTGAGGGATGCATCACCAGTGGGTCTTGCTGGGTCTCACTGGGCAGCAAGGTGGTCCAACCCCTGGCGCAGCAGCAGCACTGCCGGGAGGAGCAGCAGGAAGGTGTGGGGGGCTGCTCTGCAGGTGCCATTCTGCTCTGGAGGCGGGCACGTGTGCTGGGGAAGCACCAGCAAGCTGTGCCTGAGGGGTGGCCCACTTGTCATCAGTGGCCCCACAGAGGACGGGTACAAGGGACCTAGTCCCCGCTGGGGGAAAATTTGCCACAGGTAGTTTGCGTCTCTGAAACCTGCCCGCAGAGGGACACAGGGCAGCCCAAGGCACGGCCCAGCAGCTTAGGGTGAGCTGGGGGAATGACCCAGCACAGGGAGGTCGTGGCATTTCACAGCACGAGGGCCAAGCCCCAGCTCTCCTCAGTGGGGAACAAAGTCAGGCACTGCTCCAGGGCCAGGTCCTGGGGTGCTGGGAGTGGAGACGGTCTTCATGGAAAACTTGTGCTTGCCTTCAGGAACAGGACTCGTAGCTCTCCTGATCGAACAGGAGTCTGAAATTCACAGCGCAGTGTGCCTAAGGACAAGGCCCCATGGCACTCTGCACAAGGGCACGGTGGCAGACAGCGATAGCACAACCCCAAGCCAGACACCATGGGCCTTGCCTTGGAGGGATGTAGGGAGCAAAGCCCTCAGCAGCCCAAGCGCCAGGCTCCTGGGTGCACAGGAACAAAGCTGGTGGCGCAAGGCTCTGCACGGTCTGAGGACCCGGTCCCACAGTGAGTGGCTCAAGGCGCGACTGAGGTAGAAGGTCCTGCACAACCAATCTCTCCTGCACAGCAGGATGGCTTGGCGCTTCTCTCCTCTACCGCAGCAGCCTCCTCGACAAAACAAGGAGCAGAGCTGCTGGTGAGATCTTTCTCCACGGCAGCTCCACCCAGGAGCAGAACAGGGGTTAGCTCAGCCCACGCTCAAGTTGTTAGAAGCCGCGGCGCAGACACAGAGGCCATCTCGAGCCTCCCCACTCCTGCCAGGGCCCCGGGATCACTCTCCTCACCTGGGGCACGCAGCACATCTCCTTCCCGTGTCCTCTACCTCCAAACCCTCCACTCCTCACACGGCTGCTGCCAAGTTCTCCAGCTTCCTCGCTGCTCCTGCCACGGCTCTCCTCTCGCTCACCACAGCTTCACAGCCTCTGCCTCCCGCCGCCATCACCACCCGCCTCTGAACTCCTCCAGATTTCTGCCTGGGCACATCCAAACAGCTGCTGCGACAGCCACAGCCTGGCTGCCCACGGGCACAAGGAGCGGCTCCCGCCCTCGAGAGGAGCCCTGTCCCACAGCAAAGCCCCACCAGATCCACCCGGCAGCCCCAAGGCTGCCTCCCCCTCCCCGGGGCACCTGCCCACTCCACCAGCACGCCGGGGAACTTCCCAAAAAGCATGACCAGCAGAGCACTGCCATCGCCAAGGGCCCTCTGCGGGGCAGCAGAAGGCTACGAGGCAGCGCTGTCAGCCATCGGTAAAACTCTGCGCTCTCGGGCACAAAAGCTGAAGCGGCTGCTGCTTTCACGAGTGCTCTGAGCGCATCCGCATCCCGCGCTCTGGCAGCCAGAGCCCCGACAGACACGGGACTCACGCAGGCAGCTGGGGCAGGACGCGCCTGCTTTCTGTGGGTCTTCCAGAAAGAGCAGGCACCACAGCAGGATTAAGCTGTCACTCTGCTCCATGCCACTTCAAAGCCACACAGCTGTGCAAGCGGCACACCGCTGCCATTTCCATTCAAGGCAAGGCTGACTTCCAACCCAGCCCGGTGACCTGCAGAGGATTACCACCACAATCGCAGCTCCAGCGGACTTAGTGCGGCCACAATGCGCGAACAGCAAACACTTTCTCACCACCATCAGCTGATGGGCCAGGGCGGCCGAAAACAACGCAGAAAGAGAAATGATGGGGCAGCAGTTGGGTAAGCTGCCTGGATTAGAGCGGCTCAAAGCGGGCTGAAAACCTGCTTGTACCGCTGAGCCAGCGAAACTGCAGCTCCGGCCCTCATCTCCGTTCACCCAAACACGGTCAGGCAGCTGCTGGGTCCAAGCACGCTGAGAAGGGCCACAAACACTAATGCTGCAACGGAGAAGTCGGGCAGGAGGTAAAGCGCAGGCACCCGCACACACCCGTGACCCTCGACGTGCCGTATCGCCCGTCACCTACGCACAAACCTCCTTCCGATCCCTCCCGCGCTGGCCACAGCAGCTCCCTCCTGGGCCTGGGAAGCAGCGACAACCCCCCACAGCCCTCGTGTGACGCCTTCGGCCAGATTTCTCCCCAGAAGTCATGGGAGCAGGCCATGAGCACAAGGTAGCTACGGCAGCATCCACAAAGGCAAAGGGTCGCTCGTCTCCCTCCTGGGTACCGACCCACACTCAAGCTTCACCTCCCGCAAGGGCGGGAGCCCAGGTTCCCGCGTCCCAAAACACACCGCTGGCACGGCACGTCCAAGGGCCCGCCACACTTCATCTCACCTCGCTCGCACACACACGGACACGTGCACACACTGACCTGTTCACCACAGTGACGTGCCTCTGCATGGGAATTTCTTTAGAGGGTCCGCTCCCAGCAGCTGGAGGCAAGGTAGACCGGGCGCTCTCCGCACTGGGTTTCACCACGCCACACGCCACTCCTCTGCCTCGTGGTGGGCGAGGAGCGGGCCTCTTGCTGCCTTCTTCTGGCATGCTCAAAGACCTGGGCTGCCGCAAAGTTCCTTTCGGCTTTCCTAAAGAGTTTGCAGACGTAGCCGTGAGTAGCACTCTCCTCCACCCAGCCCAAAGAGAATTCAAGCACAGCAGCTAACCGCCCCAGCGACTCCATACTTTTCCAAAACACAGTCAAGAAGGATGCTCTCAGCCACAGCCGGGGGTCTCCCTGCTGCAGCACCGTGGCTCGCACCCCAGGACTCACAAACCACAGCCCCCACCACGCCGTGCTGCAGCAGGGCAAGGGACCGGAGACCCACCTCCCCTCGGCCTCTCAGAAAAGCCATGCGCCTGGGAGGTGCCACAACAGTCACGTCTCGGGTGGGACTCACGCTCGGGCTGCCCTTTACCACCCCACGACAGCAGCAGCTCCCAGCGGTGTGGCACGTGCAGCCTAACCCCCCCTCCTCAGCCACCTCCTGCACCGCTGCCCAAAGGGTTTCTTCCTCTCCCCCCACCTCCCACCACACAGCTGAGGGTACCAAGTAACACCTGCACAGGAATGCGCCACGCTGGCCTTCAGGCCACAATGCCACAAACGAGCTCTTTGCCACTTCGCTGCCTCCTTGCTGGCTGTGCCACACCAGTTTGGGGGGGGCAAACACTTCTGAGGGGTATCGCTGCGCGAGACACTGAACCAAAGATTACCCGTTCGTAATCTCTGTCGTTTCACCGGAATAGGAGTTATCAGTTCAGCTTCCCAGCTAGAGGGAAGACTCTTGGTGTGGTCACGGAGAGCAAGAAGCAGCAAAGCCTTCCGTACAGACAAGAACAGGAGAATACAAACAACCTACAAGACCCACTGCTGCTCCGAGCTGCCAGTGGACAAGCAGATGGGCCTGATCCTGGATACTCCACTGACAGCAGCACACCAACAGCACGGCAGTGAGGGAAACCTGACCCATAGGCTCTGGGAAAACACTGACACAGCAGCTTATGCCAATAGGCACAGAGGTATCATGAGCAGCCCCTGGGCATCAGCTATGGCAACCTGGGCACTTGCAGCAGCACAGGATCTGCTAAAACAGACACAGATAATGCTGCAGTGGCTCCTCCTCACCATGAAGTTGTGTCTAATCGCTGCCACTCCACAATGGGTCAAGCTCAGCCTCAAAGTATGAGCAGGCTCATTGCCACACTCAACCACATTTCTCACAGAAGCATGGGCAGGTGGAAGTGAAGCAAAGCATCCCTGAAGAACTGTTTTTTACAAGATCATTCACATCTCATGTATGTACTCGAGAAGTCTTCCTCACTTACCATGGCTTGCAAGCACAAGCACCCTTGTCATCACACTTCCCTGCTCCCAGGACCACACAACTCGTGGCCATTACTGACACACTTTCATGGCCAAGACTTTTGCTGTAGCAGCTGCACTGTTCTTTCATGAAGACAGACCCTCCACATCTGCCTGGGGCTTACCTGCCAATGTGACTGGAGAAGTGTTCTTTAGCCTCATCTGACAGTTCACTTGCCGTCCCATTTTCCTCTTAGAACTCCTCTGCCGGGCCACCAGTTGAGCAATTGGCACAGTCTCGCTGCAAGCAACAGCATGGCAAATGACCTTGTTGGAATAGGAAGGGGAGAGGGAGGAAAACAGTCAGTGAGGTCCAAGTACATCCACAGCCCTCAGAAGGTCTTGCGACCATTGCCATGCCTGCAACTGCTTGGTCATGTGGGCCTGCAGTAGTTCAGCAAAGGCTTCAGTAGCTGACACAGATCTTGGAGACTTCTCTCTCCTTTTGCAGTGCACCTCAGAAATCAGCAAAGCAGACAGCTGGAGCCTCTCCATCACCTTCCCACACTAGGCTGGGTCCCACGAGGGAACAGCCTGGTTTCACACAACCATCCTACAGGCCCACCATGTCCCTTTACAATACTGGGAAGCCAGGGGCTTCCAGCTCACCAGGGGATCTGGCACCATTCTGACTCTGTGGAGCTGGGCTGGTTTTGTCCCACTTAACAAAGAAACAGCATGGCCATCCTGGCTGCACAGATTTCTCTGCAGGCACCAGGCTGGCCCCCAACAACAGCCCAGCCTTGGACAAGTCACAGCCACCTCCCTGGCCTCCTTAACGGCCTCTTGCCTTGACCTCCCATTGCCATATCTCAACAATGCTGCCACAGGCCACCCCTTGAACAGACACAGGAACCCTGCTTTGGCAAGCCCCTAAACCACATGCCTAGCATGCACTTTGCCTCACAGAGGAGATGCAAGACAAGACTTTTGGGCAATTCAACTGCTAATGACCTGAAAAGGCAGCTGAATGAATACTCTTCCAGGACTCCACAAGGACACAGGCAATCACCCAAAAACCCCCAAGTGAAAAAGAGGAGTCTGATCTCCAGAGCTGTCTCCATGGATGTCAGTCATGCTCTGTGGTGGTGGTACAGAGTGAAAAAGGGGCCCTCACACACAGCACCACTACCCTCATAATCATGGCCCCCAGCAAGCACAGGCGTTGACAATTCAGCACAGGAGAAACTCAGGTACTTGGCCAGTGCCTCTAAAATTTAGCAAACAGCTCCTCCAGAAAAGAACTTTTCTCACAAGCAAGGCAGGGTAACCAAAGCAGAAAAAACAACTGCCAAGACAAAAAAAAAAGCAAGCAATTGATAAGCAGCAACAGCTTGCTTGACAGATCTCTTTAGACTCTCTGGCTGACCCAAACAGCCCAGAGAAATATGGGCAAGGGATGACAATGCTAGGAACAAGGCAACACTCTTGGCCTCCAGCAGTGCGCTCCAGCTGGTTCTTCTCCTCCTCTTTCTCCTCCACTGCACACCCAGCATCTGCACCGGGCTGGCTCGACCTACAGCCAGTGGAGGGAAGGCCTCTCCTCCTAAGGGACAGCTCTCCCATCTGAGGAGCTTCTAATTAGAAATCAGACAGCGTACCCACTCCACAGTCAACACCTATGCAAAATCACACCAGCAGCCTCATCGCTGCAGTGGTTAAATGTAAGGAATCACAGAAAAGTCAAGGCTGGAAAACATCTCTATAGACCACCTCATTCGGTATTTCTGCTCAGAGCAGCATCAACTAGACCTAGTTGCTCAGGATATTGTCCAGTTGGGAGTAGAACACCTCCAAGAATGGAGACTGCTCAACCACTCTGGACAGCTTGTTCCAGTGTTTAGCCACTCTTGCTTTAAAAAAGTGGGGTTTTCAATGTTTAAATCTGTATTTCACTTTGCTTCTGTTGTCTCTTCTTTGTTCACTGGATATCAGTGAGAACTGGAGATGGGGTCTGGCTCTGTGGTTTTTTTACTCCCTCCAACAGGTTTTAATACACATGGATAAGATCACCCTGAGCTATCTCTTCTCCAGAATGAACAGTCCCAGCTCTCTGAGCCTTCCATCAAAGATGTTCCAGTCCTTTCATCACCTTCACAGCCATTCACTGGACTTGCTTCAGTGCGCCCATGTCTCTCTTGTTCTGAGGAGCATGGGACTGGACACAGGTTCCAAGATGTGGTCTCACTACAGCTGAGGAGAGGGATTAATCACCTCCCTCACTGTGCTGGCAACACTCTTCCTAATGAAACCCAGTGTGCTGTTGGTCTCCTTTGCTGCAATGGCACACTGCTGCTCACTGTAAACTTCATGTCCACCAGAACCTCCAGAAATTTCTCTGCCAAGCTCATTAGGCAGTTAGTTAGTCCCCAGACTGTAGAGGTGCATGGGGTTATTCTTTCCCAGATGCAGGACTCGGTATTTCCCTACACTGAAATTCATAGGGTTCCTGTTGTTCCATTTCTCCAGCTTGTTGAGGTCCCTCTGAGTGGCACCACACTTGTCTGCTCTATCAGTCCCTCCTATCATCTACAGACTCGCTGAGGACAACCTCCATCCCATCATCAATGTCATTCATGAACATGTTAGACAGCATTTCCCCAGTATTGACCCCCTGGGGAACACCACTGGTGACTAGTTCCCCAATGGCTCTTGTGCCACTATTATGGGAGAGACCATCAAAAGCCTTACTTAAATTCAGATAAACGCATCCAGTGCTCTCTCCTCATCCACCCAACTACACATCTCATTTTGGAAAGGTATCAGTTTGGATACATACATTTTTCACTTCATAAATCCATACTGACTACTCCTACTTGCCTTGTCTTTCACATATCTGGAACAGCTTTCCAGGATTAGTTACTAAATCACCTTCCCAGAGATTGAGGTCAGGCTGATCAGCCTGTGGTTCCTCAGATCTTCCTTCATACCCTTCCTGAAGGTAAGGGTGATGCTTGCTTTCTTCATGAACCTCCCACAGACCACCATGACCTTTCCAAGATAACTGAGAGTGGTGTGGTCTTGCAACATCAGCCAGCTCCCTCAGCACCTGTAAGTGCATTGCAACAGACCCATGGACTTGTGCACATCCAGTTTGTTTAAATGTTCCCTAGCCTAATCCTCCCCCACTGAGGGTAAGTCTTCATTGTGCTTCGCTTTCCCACTGGTCTCAGGATACCTGGGACTGCTGATGACCAGTAAAGACCAAGGCAAAGAAGGCAGTCAGTGCCTCAGCCTTCTCCATATCCTTTAAGACCAGGTCCCCATACCCATTCATCAGCCGACCCACATTTTCCTTAGTCATCCTTTTGCTGATGATGTACCTGTAGAAACTTTTCTTGTTGCCCTTCATGACCCTTGCCAGCATCAGCTCCATATGGGCTTTAGCTTTCCTAAGCCCATCCCTGCACGTTTGGACAGTGTCTCTACATTCCTTCCACCTCAATTCCATTTCTGCCTCTTGTGCACTTGCTTTTAATGGCCAAGTTAAGTCAGGAGCTCCTTGTTCATCCATGTGTGCCTCCTGCAACCTTGCACTTAAAATTGTCACTTAAATAAAACAGAAACTGTCAGGCTGTACCTGACTGAGTCTTAAGTCATCTTTGTGAAAAGTGAACCTGAAATCCTTAACTCTTCACCCTTTCAGACATGTCTGTGCAACAATCTGTGCTCCATGATTTGAGAATGGATTCGAGAAGGCTTTAGTAAAATGAAACACAACAGATGGTTGTAGTTCTTTATTTGCTGTAACTTCTTTCTTCTAGTCTTTCTATTGTTCCTGTATTTGCTCCTGTTGTCTGTACAGTTACCAGGTACTTTAAAGACTTTTTCAGAAGAGGGTGCTCAGAAATGACAGTGCTTTGTGAGCTGTTCTGAAGGTGATGGCACTGTCTTGGTTTTCAAGTTGTTAAACTTGACAATAAGTAGTGCAGTCCTTCTTAAGCCCATGCATACCTGTTCAGGCAGTGTCTCTATATCCCTCCCAGCTTGTGTCCCCCTGTTCCCACCTCATGCATGCCTTCTTTTTTATGGCTGAGTTTTGTCAGGAGTTGCTGGTTCATCCATGGCATGCCACCTGCAACCTTGGGGTTTTTTCCCAGCTTGATGGGATGGACCATTCCTGAGATTGGAGGAGGCAATCCTTCAAAATCCACTACCTCTCCTGGACCACTCTTCTCTCTAGGACTGTATCCCCTGGGAGTCTTCCAAGCAGATATTTGAACAGGCTGAAGTCTGCTCTCCTGAAGTCCTGGCTTGTTGACACTGCTATTTACTTTATTCCCCTCCTTTTGGGCTCCCGAACATGACCATCTCATGGCCACTGCAGCCAGAGCTGTCCCCAGACTTCACATCTCCAACCAGTTCTTCCTTGTTTGTAAGAATTGGGTCCAGCAAAGCATCTCCCCTCATCGGCTCATCACTTGTGTCAGGAAGTTGTCACCAGCATGCTCCAGAAACATCCTGGATTGCTCATGTGTGGCTGTCTTGTCCCTCCAGAAAGTATGGTAGTGGCTCAAGTCCTCCGTGAGGACCTGGGCCTGCAAATGTGACGCTTCTTGCAGCTGTTGGAAAAAGGCATCACCTGCTTCATCGACTACTTCTTCCCAGTCAGGATGTTTGTAACAGCCGGCCACCATAACATCACCCATACACTGGTCTGTTCGCTCCCCATAAGCTCTTGCTGTCTCACCATCTGTCCCAGGACAGAGCTCGGAGCGTCCCCACTGCTCTCACACTGGAGGGTCTCACAGGAACGCCCCTTCCTTGCCATTCCAGCCCTTCATTCCTCAACAGCCCGTGTCCATCCGTGGCAGCACGCCAGCTGTGTGAGCTGTCACAACAGCTCTCCGTGGCCCCGATATGGCAGCCCTGAAGGGCATGCAGACCTCCAGTTTCTCTTGGTTGTGCCCCAGGCTGTGGGCAGTAGCATACAGGCACTGCAGAGAGGTGCCCCTCTGTGCCCATTTCCAGAGAAGTGTACGAGAGCTTTCCTCATACTCCTGGCTTACTTCCCTGTTTATAATGTGGATGCACGTGGGATGGAACACCTTCAGCTCTGCTCTGTTCTCAAGGTCTCAACATAAAAGATGTTTTGTTCACACACAGTTTATTGTAGTTTCATAAATGCACACTTTAACTTCTTTGGTATATTTCAGGTTTTTTCTGTCACTAATGTCATAAGTTGTTTTCAGCATTTTCTTCCCTTGTTTATATATCATAGTGACATTAAGTTTAGCAGAAAGGATTGTCTGAGTTAGAATGAATTCAGATGTAAAAACACATGGGGTAGACTAATTCACTTGCAGCATAGCAAAACAGTCTTCAAATTTCTCTTTCTGGAGGAGCCTAATTATTTGTGCAGAAGTCAAAGTCTTCTTAGAGGAAGGGGCAACTATACACTGCTTGTAACAGAACATGAAGTGAAGTAAAGCAGTGTTCCTTGAAGCGACACAACCACCTGCTGCAGGTGGACAGTATTACAATTTGAGTCCCCTTGCAGTATTTTCTGTATATTGAATTTAAACCTAATCCTGTGTGGAAACTGGAGAATATACCTATCATATGAAGGAATAATTTTCATCATTCATCTTTCCTGCATTCAAGAACAGTAAATTAGTGTTCAGTAGTAAAAGGAATGAGACAATTTATATCATTGCCTTCCCAATGCAACCAGTCTGTTCAGCATCAGTTACCTAGGCAATATTCATCTCACACAAATCCTTTAATATAAGAAGCATGTGACATGTAGCACTCTGAGATCAATTTGTATTATTTACTGGCAACTTTATAGGATTGCTTGTTGAATGTATTTCTTGTGGTAGGTCTTGGGCAGCTGCCCCACCACTAAGGAAGGACATTATAGGACCATCTAGCCTGCAGCCAGGATCAGCAGCTGCTAGCAGACCTCTGCGTATGCGAGTGTGTCTTGTTTTCCTGCTCCACTGTCCCCAAAGGGATTAAGGAAGAGGAAAGGGTCTTGGCAGCCTTTTCAGAGGTGAGAGTACTCCCAGAGGCAGGAAGAGAGACTGGCTGACTGCATGCTTTTGCAGCAGGCTGTGTGGACTCTGAGCTATGGTCTCAGCTTATAATGGAGCTCAAATATTCTGAAGAGATGTGAATGAAGAGGAAAGCATTATACTGAAGTACTGCCCAGGTCTTCTATCAGGAAAGCAGTGGGAACAGTCCCAGGTAGTTACCACACTTGCTACCCTCTGCTCAGTATCTGCCACGAGGATGCTCTGGACAGCAGCAACAGGAGGGTCATCAAGCAGCAACATGGGCTCAGTCTTTGCATCTCTCCTGCCTCCCAAGTGTTTGCAGGGTGCTTCATCTCAGTTGCTTCAGTCATGCAGAACATAGCACTCCTAAACCAAAGCAAGACTTGCTCAACTACCTCAAGACTCCTGTTTAGTAGCTTTTGCCTTTTCCATCTCCTAAAGCCACATTCCACTCACTCCTTACAGCTGCCACAGAGAAGACACCACCTCTAGTTCTACCCAAGAGTTCACAAGGTTCACAGCACACATCGCATTAGAGGATAAGCAAGGCTCTCAAGGGGATGACAGGATACCAGATTACACCCTCCAAGGCCCTAGTTAGAAAGAGATGGCTATCTGTCAGAGCCACCATGAGGAAGCATTAAATTGAAGCATCACAAATGTTCCCAGAGGTACCTGAATTTATGTTACTGATGTAGCTGCAGTCAATGCAGGCTTGGAGCCAGCGAAAAATAATCCCAAACTTGGATACCTGCTGCAAAAGGGCAAATTCTGACAGTTGTAAAAACGCAGCAAGGGGATTTCTTGCTTAAAACCAGCCACATTTCCAGACATCAGCACAAAACTCAGGACACCCCTCAACACACTCTTCACAGCTAACCAGGAAGACCTAGCTTTGAGCTCCCAAATGCCAACCCGATCCAGCTGAGCCAACAAAGGACCTCAGCCTTATGTGCTGTCTCTCCACACCTGCTGTGACAGCCATACATTGTGCCAAACATCTGCCAGCTTTCTTCTCTCTGTCTACAGCCTACATCAACTTCAGGAACCCAGAAATGGCTTGAATAAGGGAGCGGCTTCAAGCTCTCCACTCAGAGAGATCATCTACAAGTCATACAGCTATACCAACCACCAAGAGAATGCCTTCTGACTCAAAACCAGGAACTCCACACTATTGGACAAGGAGGCTTGTGGACTTGGCAAGCTGCTTCAAAGCTGGCAACCACCAGGAGACACGGACTAGCTCAGCAAGGCCAAGGAATAAGTGAAAACTCTCCCACCACACCAATATTCTCTGCTGAGCTCTACTCCACCTTCTCCTTGACCTCTGTGCTGACTCCTTGTCCCCTGCACTCTTGCTAAGCTGAGGCACAAAAGTCGCAACTTTTACACCAAGGCATCTCACTGGCAGGGGTTCTTCCTCACCTTGGCAAGTCTTCACAGTCCTGTAGCGCTGCAACTCATGACAAACAAGAGTGCTAAGCATAAAGCAAGCACCGTCAGGCTTATAGGCAACCACACCCACAACAGTTTTGCTGTGGAAAAAAGATGATGCTAAACCCCACCCTGAAGAGATGATCAAGACACACACGAGTTAACCTTATTTAAGGTACTAGGACAATACACCAATATCCCCCAATTAGAAATGCTGAGACAGGGACCAGAGGTCTACGGTCACATGAACTGCCTTTCCAGACAGAACTCCTGTTTCTGGGAAAATGCCCTGTAACCTTCCACCTTTTACAAATATGACTTCCTGGCCTGCATGCAGAGGCAGGAAAATAAGGGGCATTTGGTCTACGCCACAGCTTCTACTTCTCCCAGCACTAATGCATCACAGATATGCTACAGCATTTTTCTCAGAAATACATGGCACAAGCAGAGGCAAAGTCATGAACCATGTACACTGTACAAACACAAAAGCCATTTATGAATGGTGACTGATTCTTACCTCTCCCATTTTGTTCCCTTCCATTCTGACCACTGCTGGGATGCTCTGCAAGTAGTCTTCCAGTGTGCCATGTCCTAGGTGCCTGAAGGGAATCCACTCACCAGTCAGGGATTTGTATTCACCCTGAAGCTCTGACAAAGGTATGCCATTTTTAAAGGGGTGAAGAACAGCTCGCAGTGTTTTTGCAATAAGTTCAGGCTCCTGCATCTTCACCTATATCCACTTCACCCAAAAGAAAAAAAAAAAGCATTTTTACATACACAGGCTAAAGATACCAGCTTTCACTATTCAGCCTCCCTCCCAAACAAGCAAGGATTCATGGGTTCAGTGGCTCATCTTTATCTTTAGACACTTTGATACTTCTGGGTATGCTTGTAGGAACCTGGTGCTGCCAGCTAAGAGTAGGGTGGTATGAAACACACGGGGCATGACACTGTCGAAAATAGCAGCTGAAGGAGAAAAGCAGCCCCTGTGAATGGGCTGGCCCTGACAGCCAATCACCACAGACTACGTGTCCAGAAGGGAGGCGGGGCTGACAGGTAATTGGCCCATGTCATTGCCTGCGGGGCCAGGACTTCCATCAGAAAGGGGGCAGGGGCCCCAACACCTGGTTCCCGGTGCTCCCTCCCCTGGTGCCCACGGTCACTCCAGGTAGCTCATGGCTGCTCCTCCCTCACACAAACCTGCATCCCTGCACCAATGCCCACAGGGCGCATGTCAGCTCTTCCATGTACATTGCACACACTCAGATCGTGTCTTGCCCACAGCCACATGACACCTCCACAGACCCCTCTTCAGAGAGAAAACCCAACAGAAGTGAAACCTGCTCCCTGCAAGCCAGGAGCCACACACAGATGGAGCACCACAGAGCCAGTACCAACACCACCCATCTCATTGCCAGGCAACCAACCTGTCTGGAGAAACACATGCCCGCTTCGGAGGCACTGGCAAAGGCGCAAGCAAACCTCTGCCTCACCTCCGACAGCATCTGCCCCAGTGCCACAGGCTGCTAGTGGGACTCTTCAGAAGACGATTTACTTGACAGCAAAGGGTCTTGCCCGGCCAGCGCAGGAGGCTGTTTCCAAGCAGGTGCCAGAGCTCCCTAAAGCCCCTCCACCCCCCTCAGCTCACAGGTGTGTGCACACTCAGGGCTTCTCCAGGGCCACCACCTACACCCGGTGCTGCCGGGCAGGCTCTGCGCTCCCGGGCAGGCGTCCTGCCCGCAGGCCCTCACTCGCCGCGGGGCAGTCTCGCCAGAAAAACCTGCCTGCCACAGTCGCGCACCCAAGCCAGACGCCGTCCTCGCACAGCCTGGGTCCGACCCTGCTCTCAAAGCCCGTGCTGCACCCAGCGTCGCGTTCTAACACCGAGCACGCTCCTGCGCCCGAGAAGCCTTATCTTCCCCCGCCACCAGCCAACGTGCGACACCAGCAGAGTCAGCGGATCACGACAAGGCGGCCTCACTCTCCTCAAGCCTCTCCAGCTCAAGACGCGGCAGGACAGTCCCTCACCTCCGAGCACACGAAGGCGAGCAGCTGCTGCTCGCACACCGGTGCGCTGCTCTCTCCAAACGGCGGCAGCACCAGGCAGCTGCCCGCAACCGCACTACCGCCACGCAGGACGCCAAGTGAAGTCAAGTCTGCGCTGCTCCTTGCAGAAGCAGCCCCTCTCCTTTCGCCGCTTCCCTTCTTTTTGAGACGTTGCCCTGGCCACACACACACACACCAAGTCCAAAAAGAGGAGAAAGCCCAGCCCTCAGCACATCGCAGACGCCGTGCTGCACGTTCCACCACACACGCACACCAACGCTGTCTCTACCTTCCCGCACCCAAGCTCACGACAGCCCAACTCAGGTGCCGGGCATGGAGGCACGGCACGAACTCCTGTTCTTCACCGCTCCTTCAACAGTTTTACTTCGTGCACGCACAGCGCTTCACTAACGTGACTCTGTCTCTCCGATTCTCACACACAGCTACACCCACCTACCTACACCGACACAGACAGCCCTGCGTATACATGTGTTTACACACGCATGCTTCCCAACCCCGCCAATTCCTGCCCTTGCCGGTCCACCGGGTTTCACTGACTCATCCTGCAACAACCTCCACCACAACGACCCTCACAGCCCCCCCTGCCCAGCTACTGGCCACAGCGTTACTGGGCCCAGGAGGAGCAGTGCACGTCCAACACATGCACCTGCGCACCTCCCGACAGCAATGGGCACCAGCCACACCGGGCACCTGGCTCCTTCCCTCGACCTTTTACAGACTTCGCAGCTGGTGGACAGAGCTTCAGAGACCAAGAGCAGGTGGTGGCCACCGGACAGAAGAAAAAGATCCAGGAAGTTTCTATCTCCTTTGGTCCCACCCACTGCCACAGGGACACTGTTTGCTGGAAAAATGCCTAAGTAGTTTAAAGTTTCGAGCATGTTAAAAAAACAAATACCCAAACATTGAGAAGGACCTCCAAAAATGCATTTTTGTCTGCAGTGGTGTTCCAAGTCACATACGTGCAAGAGACATGGAAAAGTTGATGAGAAGCCTTTTTCTCTACTTTTTATTTTAAATAATATACCCAAGTTCTTATTTTATTAATATGATTCTTGAAAGTCCTGTTACCTGACCTACCTGAAATTAACTTACTGCTCAGGGAAAATTAACACATTATCTACTACCGCTGGGCAAAGTGACAATGAAGAAAACTTACAATAACTTGGGAGGCAGTCTCAAAAGTTGATTCAAAAGGCAAAACTTCAATAAAAATGAAAGGGAAAAGGGATGCAGGGGACAATAGTAAGCCACCATCAGATATCTCTGTAGTACTCTAATATGAAAGAACTGAGTCAGATCATAAGTAGTAAATAGGATATCATAAAATATATCCTCCTAAATTATTTTATGAGGAGCAGTTATGAGGTCAATTTACTTAAACGAGATGACAGACACTAGGGTACAAAGGTTAAACTGAAAAGTCTTCAATTTACACCTGAACAACATTCCCACTCCTACAGCTAGCTATAATGCGGAAGACTTGCAGTGCAGCAATGACAGCAAGTAACATGCTGATACTTGAGCAGAAAGCTACATAGCTCAGAGTGGCTCCTGAAGCTTCCTTAAAATTCTTTTTGTGGTCAGCTGCTGTAAGGTTAAGTCATTCAACAGTTACGACATTCACTCAGCTGCTCACTGCCTCCAGACGGGAGGACGCTCCATTGGAAAGACAGCCCGAGCAGCCAGGGCACTTCGTTCAAATCAGTCTTCTCCGGCATATGAACAGAAACTTTTTTCAGTATGCTTAAAACGGATGACCACCCTCCAGCTGCAAAACGGTCTCCTCAAGCTATCAAAACTCAAGCTAACAAAACAAGGAAGTGAGGATAGCTTTCCTGCTGAGTAGGATGAACTCCCTAACAGCCATACTTTTAGAAGACTGAAAACGCGACCCTGCGGAACACAAGCCTCCTCTGAAGGCACAAAGTAGCCACCAACCCGGCGAGGTCGGAACCCTTTCTCTGTCACAACGGAGCCCGCGAGGAGAAGCAGCCTCCCGCTGACCGTCAGAGCCTGGCCCCCCGCACTGCCTCATCGCCCCAGCCCGACAGGGCTTAACGCCCGGCGAAGCTCCTCCGTTTCCTTACCACCTCCTCAACCCGGGGGCTTCCAGACACCGGCCAAAGCCTCCGCCGCGGGCCGGGGACGGGCCGAGCGCCGCCGCCTCCCTCTGAGGGGACGGCGCAGCAACGGCTCCCGCTCCTCGCGCGCCGAGGGACCGGCCGCGCGGCCCCGCCCCGCCCCCGCCGCCGCCAACCGCGCCCCGCCCCGCGCGCATGCGCCGGACGGCCGCACCGCTCCGCCTCGCGGTGTGGGGCTGTGCGTGGGCGCGCAGCTCCGGGGCACGCAGGCACAACACCGCCCCACACACACACACACACGGGAGGCCGAGGAGGGGCAGTTCGGCGCGTCTCCTCCACAGAGAACGCGGGTTTTAAATGCGTTCACTTAATTGCCTCGGTTCATGAGGCTGAAAACTTAATTCTGGAGTTGGACCTGCCTGTTGACGCCTGTACAGAACTATTGCACGGGCGTGCCCTCCCATCAGCTTGGGGCCGGGGGCTGGTGGGTGCCCAGGCCACGCTGGCGCTGCGCTGGGCCCACGGCACCCTCAGCCTGCAGTGCCCCGAACCCAGGCAGCTGCTGAGCCCCAGGAGCGTGGGCACCTCGAGGAACGCTGCATACTTTCAGACCTTTAGATCCCATAGGTTTGGGTTCCGTTTTTCCAAGCACATGGCTGATGAGTGCTGCACACAGAGGGGCAGCAAATGGCCACGGGGTGCGAGGTTGGCCTGGCGAAGTTGGCTGTGGTTGCCTGCTGCCAGCAATGGACAGCCCCTCACCACCTTACATCAGGGGGCCCTGCCACCCTGCAGCGCGTCTGCAGCAGCATCCCGTCTCTGCTAATGTCATCTGCATCTGAGAGCCAGGCTGGAGGCAACATCAGGTCAAGCTGCATGATGGCAGGTTGGCGGAGGGCTGCCAGGGCCAAGCCAGAGGCTGGCCCCACAGAGGGAGGCCGCAGGAGCAGCTGCCAGGGGTAGAGGTGGAGATGCTGAGCCTCATGACCACCACCATGAGTTGGTGACAGCTGCCTTCTGCCACGGCCGTGACAGCCTCCAGAGACTGCTTCCTGTCGGAGTCCAGTACTCTCTGACCAGGATTTTTTAGATACCCCACACATGGAGGGCACAATGTTTAATGCAAAGTTTACTCGTTTGATGCTATTTGCATTTACAGGGGCTTTCTATTTAGTAGGGTGATACAGCAGACACAGTATAAATACACATTACATTCTGCAGACTACTGCATTTCCAATGTACTGTGGAATAACAATACAGTTGTGAATCTCATTACTGGTCTCTAAAATATGCTTATTGTCACAACACTGGCTGTCCCTAATTGCCAGGAAAGGATATGAGGGTTGCAGCCAGCTCAGGCCTGGAGTTCTCTCTTTAGAGTTCCTCTGTTCATTGTTTTCGACATTTTTGTACTTATTGTTGGGTTGAGCCACACATGCACTTGCTATGCTGGTCTGCTTGAGGTTATTGCCATGGAGTCTGCAACATGAAGTCTGTGTCACATCTCTTCCCCTTCATGCCTGTACTCCTTGATGCTTCTTGCTGTAAGTTCTCAACACCTTCATTGTTATGGCAGGCCTGTATTTCTCTCACTACACCACTGTGCTAGTGCTGCAACTATCTCATTCGACATACAAGTGCTTTCTTGTATTCTTATTGCAAAAATGTGGTCACACTGAACAAAAATAAGGAAAAATAAAACAAATAGCCATATCAACTTATAAATTTAGCTGTCACAGCTAAAACAAGTAAAACAAAGTTGCAGGCAGGACAAGAAATGTTCACACAGCAAGCTTCACAGCCCCCAGCCTGAGGCCTTGTATAGAGTTGAGCCATTACTTGGTTTAAGTGCTTCACATAACTCACATAAAACACAAAACTATTATACTTGCTAAATTACTATGATAAGTTGTAGAGCCAAGCTGAGAACTCCTGAAGCTAAAGAGACCTGTCCAACAGGCACCATGACGGGGAGCATATTTCTTTCCTCATCACCGTCTGTGCTTGGCGGAGCGAGCCGTATGTGGAACTTGGAGGTAGAACCACTGTGGAGTTCTTCTGTCAGGACATGTAGCTCAGCTCCTCAGGCTTGTCTCAGAGTTTGTGCTGTTTGCACTGCTCCAGCTCTTAGTCGTAGGTAGAGGCACAGCAGGCAAAGTCCCATACTGAGGGAGTGACAGGGCTCTACAGAAAAGCATAAATCAGTAAGCTAAATACCTGTTACAGTTACCTGAATTTAAAAAAAAAAAAAAAAAATTAAAAAACAAACACCAAAACAAAAACAAAGAAAACAAAAGTATATATTAATTGGAGTCATTGAGTCATAGCATTAAACATGTCTAATGCATACACAAGCTGTGTTATTTTAACAGTAAGCATACTCCTAAAACTAGTTAAGGGTATACTGTTCTGCTTAAAAAGTCTGCATTTCCTTAAGTCAGGGACAGACAGTTATACAACTGTTCTTTATGCTTAGCTGATTCAGCTAGTCTGTTTGGAACAAAGACATCCTCTGGTTCCCTCTGGTATTGAAATTAGTTTGGCTTCTTTTGCAACAGTTGTGGTCAGTCACTCCATTATTGTCCCCTAAGCTGCAAAGACAAGGAGCCTCCCCTTAACTCCTCAGAGTATGCCTCCTCTGTGTGTGTGGTGTGGGGCAAAGAGGTCCTTGAACCAGTCACAATCCTGTGACCGCAGCAGGAACTGAGAGCCTCTTTGGAGCCCACCAGATAATAGCAACTCTCTTGAAGCATCCTGTTTTGATGAACATGAGGGGATACAACCTGGACAGCCAGGCTGCTGCTGGAGACATACAGCTGCTTCTTTATGAGTCACACCAAGCAGCTCCTCCATGAGCTTTCCAGCTTTGCCCAATCCTTGTGCAGCATGGTCGCTTACAACTGCATGTGGCTGCCATGCTCATGGCAAGCATGAAGGAAGCCCCTTGGCCACACTGAGCCTGGCAACTGCCACAGTGATGACCACACCTCCAGCAACAGCCCCAAGTCCATCCTGGACTGGTATCCCTTGGGTCCCTGGGAAGAAGGAGCTTCTCAGCACTTCATACACCATCACTGGTAGGGCCCTGCAGCATCATTGTCTTCCCAGCACCTCTGGGGAGGCTTTGATGATGGAGTATGTCCAGCATGTCCATGTGTCCAGCTGGAGCCCTGGCAAAGCCAGTAGGGTCTCCACACTCCTCATGAAGGAGACCAGCTGGAACTGCTCTAGCTGCTCCCCCACTGCCCCTGGAAGGAGATGGAGCCATGGGGGAGGCCAGACGAGGACATGGCTTATTGCTGTGCTGGGGACTGCAGTCAAACCTGCTCTGCTCCCGGCAGGAGCAGGCAGTACTCATCTGAAGTCCCCAGATGCCCTGGAGGTGGAGAACAAAAGCTCCAATGCTTGTTCCCACCAAGGCAAGAGGTAGCCATGACTCCATCACTGGGAGGGAGTGTAGGATCAAAGCCATAGTTCCAGTGAGATGGTCAGAAACCAGAGACAGGAGCAGGCAGAGGAGCCAAACAAAAGGACAGAGGAGGTCAGGGCACTGGCAAATACCAAAAAAGCCAAAGAAGCTTTGAAAGTTGTGAGAGAGGCTTAAGAGAGAGCAAGTTCCAATGCTGCAGAAGGACTACAGCAAGAGCATCTGAAGGAAAGAAGACAAACTACTAATCTGGAAGAAACAGTGCTGAAAGCAAGGCCAGAAGGTCGGAGTGAGGGAAAACACTGATGGATATCAGACACTCACAGCAGGCGGTCAGGGATAGAAGGCATAGAGAGGTCCACATGCAGGAAAGAGTGAAGGAGCACCCATTGTCTTGTTTCCCCAGACAGTGAGAGGTCAGTGTTTGGCACCCCAAAAACTTCTCATGTGCTTCTCAAAATGTCTGTGGATAGGACTTGCCCTGAACTACATGTCAGCAGGGTACAGCTCAACTCTACAGCTCAACTCTACTTTCTCTATTTCTCTCTCTTGTATGCAACTTGGTCTTAAAGTCCTAACAAAATCTTAAATCTGAAAGTGTTTCTTAAATGTCAAATCATTGTTTTCTGTTTCTTTTACCCTTGTCTACACAGTTATGGTATTGAAGACCCGGATACAGAGCAGAAACTTAATGCTTTTACCACCTGTTCCCAATGCTTTGTTGTAAGGTGACCACGCGATGCAGAGTAACCTGGGCAGACTGATGATGATACTTGCAGCGTGCAAACCTGGACAGCTGAGAGGCAGTTTAGGAAGCTGCTCCTGGACATTTCTCAGCTGTTGGTGAGTGAGCCACAGAGCTTGACTTCAGCCTGGTCTGAACCATGCTCAGTTGGCTACCATAGTGAGAAGTGGGCAGGGGCAGCTTTGTGAGCTGTCTTGCTCTACTGATCTCTGGGAACACACATGTTTGTGCAAGTCCCAGGGCTACACAGTACAATCTTGCTGCCTACCAAGCCTAACACAAGGAGCAAATACAGAGAGTTACTTCCCTACAATCTTTTGGTTACACTCAGTATGTTCCTTGGTCCAGCACAGGCAGCTGAAGAGCAGTGGCAACTTGGGGGAAACCTCACCATGTTGGGTAATATCGAGCACCTATAACACAGGTGGCTCTGTTTGCCCACAACTTTAAAAGGCTTCCACATTCTCAATAAACATGCAAAAAAATTCGATAAATGCACAAAGGTTAGGGTAGGGTTTGGTTTGCAAAGGCTGCTGTGGACTTCTGCCAGTCTGAGCAGGGGAAGAGACATGTTCACCCATGAGACAGTCCCTTTCAGGCTTCCATTTCTGGGACTGACACAAAAACCCAGACCAGATGAGTTTCACAACACTGACCTTATGTACCTTGGTAATCAGGTACACCACCGATACCACATCTGATAGGAAGTTTCAGTTGTGGGAAAGGCACTCGATACAGCCATTGGAGCCGCTTCTTCTCCCAGCCCCCTAAGGCCACTCTGGCTGTGGTTCGTTGTAGTGCACAGGACTAAAACCCGCACCTACAGCAAAACTAGTCAGTTACCAAAATTGCTGTCAGTGACAGTGTAGTGCTAGTTGCCTCATTTATCTTAATGCTGAAGTGTTCGTGAGATTCCCCGACTATTTCATCATGGGACAATGGGCAGGCAGATATAGGACAAGAGGACATCGAATGCTTTTTATCATCAAAGCT